CTTAATATGTGTACATAACATACATATGTTGCACAGGCTAATTTCCGGAGATGCTTTCATGCTTAGTACTGTAGTAAAAAGTGGAAGAATTCGAATTCATATTCCCGCAAGACATAATATTTAAAGTCACGATGTCATTCAAAGTCAACCTAACATGAATCAACAAGAAACAAGGAAAAACACAGCAAATGCTTGTGATGAATGTGTAAAGTCGAAAAGAAAATGTGAATCGAGTTTTCCACAGATATGTAAAAGGTGTACTGATAAGAATTTGGCATGTACCTATTCCCATTATAAAAAAAAACGTGGTCCAAAGCCGAATAAAGTTACAGAAAAAAATATTATTTTATCTATTTTCAAGCCTGAAAACTTCGAATTTATTGAGGTTGGTGATAAAAAATATGCACAAGTCGAACTTACGCAAGGTGAGGATCTTTTTTTTACCGTATATAGTCTAAAGACCCATCATTCCATAATTCTGGTCGGTTTTGAGTAATGTAAACTTAATATGACCATGTGTTTGACAAATTTGACCATAATTATTGTATGCGTACGTAGCAATTTCTGCGTATATGTTTGATATTTTCCAAGACTTAATGCTTCCAAATAATATTATCATTATTAGAACAAATGGTTCTTTTAAAAAAATTGCAAGAGACATTAGCACAATCATCTGATGTCCCCTCCGTCGTCAATTCCGATTACGTTACTAAGGATGGCAAGTGTTTTAAACTACAATACTTTTATATTCCTTTAAAAAGATTTTGTTTTAAACCAAATATCAAGTGGCATGATCTTCATATGCTGCGATAATTACAAATGACTGCATTTTTTGAGAAAAATTGTCATACCTAAAAAATAAATGCATCGTTGAAATTAAAATTAATCAGTATCTCGATATGTTAAAAAAAATAAAAAATATTAAAAAGCGTTTTTTTTACCATTTTTAGATACTACATCGAATGATACTACATCAAATATTAGACCCCACTCCCATTTCCCAGATTTGTATTACCAGATAAATAACAGAGTACCAGACGCTCACGCACATAACAGCTTTCAAAACAATTATCCTGCCGAATCAGGCAGCAATACATACGATTATCAATCACCTTTGCAACCTCACTTTCCGGATACACTCGATTATTGCGTTATTTTCCCAACACCCCCTAATCAGTGGGTTTAAAATTGGATTTACAATAACTTCTTATTATTATTTCTTATTATTATTTCTTTTTATAAATTGTGTATTTATTACGTATCACTATGCTATTAATTGAATGGTTTTATTTTATTTTGGTTTATTTTATCTTTAGTTTAATAAGGTCTATTTTTATTTATATATTTAATAATTCTTTGTATTTCAATAATAAAATTATCCGTTTTTTCAATTTAATCAATAATGAGTATAGAATATTCAATACCTTGTTTCAAGGTACCTAGTTTATTTTTAAACATTAATAATAACTCACTCTTGTCGTAATGAACTTTCGATATACTGAAGACTCGATATAGTGAAAAGTTTTTGAATTACGGAATTATTAAACTTCAACTCGATATATATAATAATCTCTCGATATAAACTATAGAGTTTTTTTTCACTATAACGAAAGTGAGTTGTAATAACGTTCCAAGTCTTTATCAGAATTTTGGGCTGGAAAAACCCTACATATAAAAAATGAACTATATCGAATTAAAATTAGTCATACGAATGTTCTGTCATACTCACCGTGAATTTTTAACGGTTAAAATATATATGTGGCTACAAATTCGATTAAAAGTTGCAAATACATTCACATGAATGTCCTAATATTTATTTATTTTACATGATGTCTTCTAACTTTTACCCATACTGCGTATCTACAAGATTTTGTTAAAAATATTTTCCAATTCATCCTCAAGAAACTTCTAGCACTGTTGAACTTTAGATAAGGACCTTCTTTTATTTACATGTCAATTAAAACATTTCATATTTTTAATTGGATTACAATAGGGAATTTTTTTTCTACTCCTAGTTTACGAGTTACTGAGAGACGGGCGAGAGGGGAGAGGGATAAGACAATAGAGCTAGCCCTTCACTACAAGGCGAGCGATAGAGAAAAGAAAGACAGCCTCATACTACTGTATTAGCCAAAGGCCCTTGAATGCCCTTGCGCTGCTTTCCTTACCTAATTATCCTAGTAATTCATATTTCAACAATCCACAAAAGTTAACCGATAAATTGAATATGTGATTCCAGAGTAGGGATGTTAACAGTTCGGTCTGGTCCAGTCTGGTCTGGTCTATTATGGTCTTCATTTTTAAGACTTTGTTAGTCCAGACCGGTCCCGACTGGTCCGGTCTTAAGACTTAGAGCAGACCAATTTTTTTCGAGTTTAGATCGGTCTTAAGACTAACCGCGATCTATTAGTCTAAGACCGGACCACATAACATCCCTATTCCAGAATCATCTGATCTCGTATTAATGGCCGATAATTATACCAACATTATAAAGGTTTGACCAGTGCTATAATTTAATTTTTAAAAGTACACCAGGTACTACAAAATTTCATAAAATTTTTATTTTATAAAACGCTACATAAAATTACGCAAAAGCGCATACCTAAGGTTGTGGTACGAAAGTTACAATCTTACAATACATGTATTTTAACGTAAATTTCAATAAATCAAATTTCATGTAATTTTTATCATGTTATATATAAAGCACCGGCATTATACAAACTTAGCCTGCATTATTGTATCATTTTAGATCCGAGTTTTAACTCCTCAAATCGCTGAAAATTTGATCACAGAAGCCATACATCATTTGTTCAAAATTACAATTACGTGAAAAATTGATTTACAGAAACTTACTACAAAATTACATATTACGAAAAGTTCCTACCCGGAGTTAGGCCAGCGTTAGAGTATAATTTAGACCGACTTGATAATGCTGGCGATAACCATTCTGTGTAATTGAATTTCGTGTAACATAAATGATGCCCATTGACTAATAGACATTCGTATGGGTAGCAAATTATGCAAAAGTGCATATTTTATGTGCTAAAGATAAATTATGCTAATATTATGCTGATCATAATCTTGACACTCTAATGGTCTTCTTGTCACGTTCGTTTATGTGAAACTGTAAATTATTTAATGCACCTAAACACTATTCAAGATTACCATTAATACTCATGAAAGTAAATTTCTTAACTTTCTACTCCATTTTCAGATATTCAAATTAATCACCAGTTATTAAGTACGTACAGTACTTAATACTGTACACATAAATAATACCATCTTAAAATTTCAACACAACTTATTAATAAATTTATAAATTACAACGGGCGTGCTAGTCTTGTAAATTCCCCTCTTGAACCTGACTTGAAATTTAATTAATTTTTTCACTGAGTGTGACCTACTCCCAATACTGAATGTAAGCTACTCACCGATACCAAACTCCCAATACTGAGCGTGAGCTACTCCTGGTACTGAGTGTGATTTACTCCCGATACTGAATGTGACCTACTCCCAATACTGAATGTAAGCTACTCACCGATACCGAACTCCCAATACTGAGTGTGAGCTACTTCCGGTACTGAGTGTGAGCTACTCCCGGTATTGAGTGTGTGAGCTACTCCTGGTACTGAGTGTGAGCTACTCCCGGTACTGAGTGTGAGCTACTCCTGGTACTGAGTGTGAGCTACTCCTGATACTGAGTGTAATCTACTCCCGGTACTGAGTGTGACCTCTGAATGTAAGCCTGACTCCCAATCTTGAGTGTGAGGTATTGAGTGTGAGCACTCCCTGTACTGAGTGTGATTTACTCCCAATCGAAACACAATTCGACAGACTGAATTGACTTGTAACTTCCATATTAAAGATTCAGATTCTTGTATATATATTTTAAGTGGGAAAGAAATTTATATGAATTTGAAACTTTAGCAAATTAGAGTTAACCTACTAATATTTTTTTTACCGGAATTTCGTAAATCATGATCGGATTATTGATTGGTTGTACTTTTACCCGTGATCTGCCACATTTCCTTTTTAATATAAACGGAAAGGATTTTCGTCAAAAAATTTTATATGTGATATATGCACTATATAAACTATACCGTAAATTCTCAAAATAACGGGCAGGGGCATTAATTCGAAAATTGTACCCCCCAAAATAGCATAGGTGGTTTCGAAATGACGCCCATGCGCATCCCGAAATAACGCGCATCTAATAATAAGGGTAGTAAAAATTAAAAAATGCTCTGAAACTAGGTTTGATACTATGTAAATCTACTTTTGAGCTTTAATGAAAGTTGTTCTTCATATCGAGACAGCTCTAATAGTAGCAGTTTATCAAAAATGACTCAATATATCGCCCACAATGGCTCCCCAAAGCTTTGCAACATTTATTTATCTTTGTTTATATAAGCTGCAACTTATGTAAACAAAAATAAACAAATATTACAAAACTTTGAAGAGCCATTTCAGATGATATACTGGGCTGTTTTTAATGAACTTACTACTGTTAGAACTATCTTGATCTGAACAACAACTTTAATTAAAGCACAAAAATAGATTTACTTAGCACTAAACCTAGATTTGGAGCATTTTTATTTATTTATTTTTATATATAATTTTATATTTGTTTCAAAATAATGCCCATGTGCGTACTCAAAGTAATATGCATATATTCAAAATAACATGCAGATGCCCATTATTTTGAAAATTTACGGTATGTACTATATGTGCTATATATGCTACATGTGCTGTATACACTATATGAACTATATACATTATATGTACTATATGATCAGTGCATGTGCTCTGAAAAATTTTTATTGATTTCAGGTTATATTTACTAGAAAAATAGAAATCATATCAAAGTTCAAAGAACCAACTATTACTTTGCTAATACACAAACATCAGATATACTATTGCTCTATCTGTAGTAAGCATAAAAGAGAGTATAGAAGATATTCGAATCTGAGATCAATGTTATATAAGTATTTATACAGGATAGTAGTTTAAAACCAGAAATTTTGGGTATAAGTAATCTTAAAAAAAGCAAAACCAATTACGCAATACTTTACTAATAAAATAGCTTCTTAATGAATGTCTTTTCAAGAAACTAAGTTGTATCACACTGAAAAAGGTTGTTCTGTTAAAGGTTAAAGTACTATTTACTTTATAACAAGTAGAAATAGGCACACATGGGATTCATGCGTGATTCTGTGTAAAATATTTAATATGATCCAAAATAAAATTATCTGGCTAGCATTACCATATCATCTGATAATATTAACAAACCGGAATAAAATCACCACTGTTACAGAACCAGGGCTATAAGCATTAAAGAGGCGAAACCAAGTATGTATTTTATTTATATGAGATACTGAAACTAAGAAATTGACTTCTTTATTTATTCTAATATTCAAGAAATACTCCCAGAGTATTATCTTCTAACCCAACTAATCCAACAAACAAAGAACTAACTAATCTACTCACTAACTATCGAAGTAACTCTCTAACCTTCTATCCTTTTTTCCTTTCCCTTTTATACCTT